GATGATGATGATGATGATGATGATGAAGAAGAACAACAACAGCAAAAGCGACGGCGGCAGCAACGGCGCCCTGTAGCGTTGGCGCGGAAGCCGCCACCACCTGCCAGGAGCCCAAAGGCAAAAGCAAAACCCAAACCAAAAGCAAAGGCACGCGGCGGAAAGACCGTCAACGTGTCTGACAGTGACGAGGAGGTGGAGGTCCCCAAGGCGATCGTCTCCCAGTCGCTGCTGCGGCGAATTCAGCGTCTAGAAGAGGCGTCCGACAGCAGCTAGAGCAATGGCGGCGAGGCGGGGCGGTGGCGGCGCCGTCCCCCACACAGCTGTGGTGGTGGACGGGGTGACGGCCCTGCCTCCACAGACTCCGAAGAGATTGGTGTGTGTGTGTGTGTGTGTGCGAAAGGGTGTGTGGGAGAGGAAGAGGAAAGAAAAAAAAAAGGGAAAGAAATAATGGCGTAGAGAGCCGACTTCATTGCTTGTATGCACAGAAACACACATGTGACTGCGAGAGCCTTGGTACAGGCTTGACGAGCGAGGCGTGTTGCGTGGCCACTCAGACACACGCGGATGTGCCTCCTTGTTAATTCTCCCTCGTGCGCCACGAAGGCCCAACAAAGGAAAAGAAGGCGGAAGTGGGGCGGCGACATTAACGCGAACAAGGAACGGAGAGCAGCACGTGAACAGCCGCGCAGATGGTACGGTAGCGCAATGCCCACCTGCGGAAGTGCAGAATAGTGTGTTGTGCTGCAGCACCAGGGTAAGAGAAGAGGCGGGGACCACCGCGCGACTCAATTGCGGGAATCGAGGGCGACTGTTCATTAACGTGACGGGCCTGCCGCTGCAGGCGCTCCGCGAGGGCATTGCGAAGTATTGCCGCGGCGCCAATGATGGCGATATGTGTATGTGTGTGCGTGTGTGTCTGTATGGGGGAGAGGGGGAGAGGGAGAGAGGTAGAGCTTCTGCGGCTGAAGCGGAGGGAAGGAGACGGTTGAACAGAAAACAAAAAAAACAAGTGAAAAGGGATGATATGTCTCTCTGTGTATCTCTTTCTGTGTGCATGTGTCTGTGTCTGTGTCTTGCTTGGCGCGTGGCCTCCAGTCTTCTTCCGCCTCTTCTTCCTCCAACGCGCACCTGCGCATACTCTGCTCGCCGGGCCACCGGGGACGAGTCTGTGTGTGGGTGTGGGTGTGGGTGTGTGCAGGCGCACGCCGACGCGAATGGGCAACACGTGCGCCCCGCAGAAGAGGCTGCGCTTCAAGAACTTCGTGCTCGCGGTGTACCCCGATGACCCACACGACGGGCCAGTGCAGGACGCGCTCGGCAAGCTGGAGAGCTACGTCGCGAGCAACCCAGAGCGCATCCCACGCGTGTGCCGCAAGATATCCAAGCTGATCGCCATCTACCTCAATCGGCAGAAGGTGCAGCGTGTCATGGTTGGTGTGCATATGCTGCGCGAACTCATAGCACACGCTGACGACGTTAGCGGTTTCGTGCCGCACTCCATTGACATGTCTTCCACGCTCTTTTCGCACTCCGCGATGGAGTACCGCATCGGCGCGGCAGATGTGCTGGCGGTATTATGCTACAAGCTCGCCGGCCGCGCCGACGGTGAGCAGTCGCGCCGCCTCATCACTGACAGCAAGGATCGCCTGCTCGTGCCGCTGGAGCGCATGTGCGTGGAGAAGCTCGGTAGTGGCTACGGGGACGCCGCCGCGCTGCGCTGCCGCCACGCCGGCGTTGTGGCTTTGGGGAACATCGCCTTTTGCCTGAATGGGGCGTTGGCGATCCTTGCCGATCGCCTCGTGCTGCCCTTCCTGCAGAACCTCATGGGAGCACTGCGCCACGCGGACGCGTCCAAGCGGTCACAACCCGGGCCCGCTGAGTTCCTGCAGCAGCTGCAGGAAGGTGGTGGTGGTGGTGGTCCACTCGACAGCGTCGCGCTTCCCACCGACACGCTTGAGCGCGACATGGCGCACATCTGCGCCTTGTCGTGGGGGGTTGGGGCGGTGGCTGGCTGCGTGTCGATTGCCGGGGTGCACCGCTTCCTGCAGCTTGTCGGGGAGTTCATCACCTCGCAGAAAGCCTGGTCGATGCCGGTATTTCCGTGCCTCGTCTTTCGTTCCCTGGCACGGGCGATGGAGCGGCGGCCGCAGCGGCTCGGCTTCTCGGTGTGCCAGTTTCTTTGTAGGCTTGTTGCTTCCCGCTGGGCGGCGGGGAGTAAAAGTGAGAATGACCACGTGGCGGGCATGACCTTCGTGCGCGCACTGATTGTCTGCGCCGACGAGGTATGCATGACCGGTGGACGCCCCCAGCTGGTGTTCGAGGTGGTGCGCAGCATGAACATTGCCGAGGCCACAACCGCGGCGACGGCGGCTGCAGCGGAGAGGCTACGGTTGGATCTGCTGCTGGCGCTCATGCGAACCACCCACAAGTGGCACAACGCCCCGCAATTGCACCTTCTCCTCACCGGCATTCTCACTTGCGTGCGGGAGGCAGCGCCTGGCAAGGCAGCCGCGGTAGCACTGCGGGCGTTGGCCGCTACGTGTGCGTACGTACGCATTGTGCCGCCCACTGACCGCGGCGACATCGACGTGATAGGCACCATCGCGCCATTTCTCGACGCACACGACGAGACACAGGTGTACGCGGCGCAAGTACTAGTGGGCCTCATCGCAGGAATCCCCCCGTCGGCTGACAATGACGATGGCGGCGGAAACGCGGATGCCGCGGAATGGATGTCAGCGCCGCAGCTCGCCACAGACGGGCAGGACGTTGCGGCTGCCGAGAGCTGGGTCGTATCTGTTGTTAGCGGCGCGCGGGCGGTGACGCCGCTGTGTGTTGTAGAGATTGGGCGGGTAGTGGCGGCGGTGCTCCAGTGTCGCGGCGCCCCCACGCTGCCCTTCGCGCTATCTATTGTGTACAGACTGCAGGAGGGCGTGGCAAGCGACAGGAAAAACAGCGAGCTCCACGTGGCGTTGTCGCACCTCTCGCTGGTGGTGCTCGTCAACTGCGGGGCGCTCTGCGGGATGCCGAGGCTGACGCGCTACGCATCGGACCTGCTGCAGGAGCGCCGCCAGGCAAATGAACTGGCCAGGGCATTCAGTTCGCGCCTCGGCACCAACGATAATGACAGCAGCAGCAACAAGGTTAGCACGCTGCGGCTTGCGAGCGACGGCGACGTGGAGGGCATCTTGCTGAACGCGGAGCCAGCGAATAGGCCACCAGTGACGCACCTCATAGACTTCGACGCCGTCGTGGACATCATTGTGGAGGCAAGCTGCAACGGGGCGTCAGCGGCGGGGGATGTAATGACGGCGTTCGGCGCCCACAGCGCAGACGAACTGAAGGCGGCCATTGCGTCCACGTGCTTCCATGGTGGTGGGGACGGCGGCATCACACCGCCACTGACGCCCCGCGCACGCGCACGCGCGGAGCGCGCCTTTACGCTGGCGTTCGCTGGGCCGCAGAACACCCCTGGCGCGTTCCTTAGCGTCACGGTCTTGGACGGCAGCGCTGCTGCTTCTCCAGTGTCAACGGGGGTTGTGCCGGGGGCCGCCGGCAAGCGAGTGTTCTTCGCCGAGACGGCAAAGACCCGCATTGCCGAGCTTCTCGCGCGGCACGGCGTCGGCGCGTCGACGCAGCTGCTGCGGCCCTCCCACTCCATGGTGTCACTCCCACTGCAGTCGAAGCAGGGTGTGGCCGCTGGTGTTCCTGCCGCTACTTCTTTGGCTACTGCGCGGCGGGGCCCGGTGGCCGGCGGCGCGTCGTGCAGCTCTACTGCGCTTTCAACGCCGTTGTGCAAGCCGCTGCGTGCCTATGACGAGGGCTTCTACGCGGGCGGCGCGCATAGTCTCTTGACGACGGAAGCCATCAAGCTGCGCATGCGGGCTGGCAATGTCAGTGGTGGTGGTGGTAGCAGCAGTGGTAGCAGCAGTGGCAGCAGCAACAGCGCCAAGGACAGGGGCAGCGACAACGAGGCCAAAGACGAAGAAAGCGACATTAGAGGAGATGGACGGCAGCGGGAGGTATGCGTTGGCCGCGCTCTCCAGAATAATGATCTCAGCAAATCATGGGGCGCCTCGCTGCACGCAAGCAGGTACATAGATCTACACTGAGTGAGTGGGAGAACGCATATATAGGTGCGTTTCTTTTTTGCTCTCGTTGTCTTCCTCGATTTCAATGTCTCTCTCTTTCTCTCTCTCTCTCTGTCTGTGTGTATCTCTCTTTCTCTCTACGTGTGTGTGGCTGTGTGGGTGTGCGTCCTGATTCAGGAACGAGGGCGGCAAACACAAAGACAAAGAAAAAAAAAAAACGGTGTAGTGGCGAGTCTTTGCGTCGACTCCTTCACGAAGGGCACTGCCCTTGTTGTTCCCATTGTCTTTATTATTGTTTTCCGCTTTGTCGGGGAGGTGATGGGGCGTGAGGCCCGTTTAGAGTGTTCTCTCCTCTTTATTTTTCTCGACGCGCGCCGTCCTGACGCCCCTCTCTTGCCTGCCCCTACAGAAAGGTGCGCGCGCACGGGGGCATGTCCGTAGGTGCGCCCCCTGGCACACTAGCCGGTGAGCTGAACTACCTTAGCATTCAGCACTCCGCTAATGACAGTGAAGCCGCCGCCCTGCTTCACCCGATTGGCGACAAGGACGGGGAGTGTGTGCGCAGCGACCTCAAAATCTCCAACTACCGCATCGCAATACGGCCGATCGGCGACGACGACAGCAGCGGCAGCAGCATGAGCGGCCAGAATTATGAAAAGGTTGAATTCTCGTTACCGCTCATGTCCATTAATTCGTGGAGCCTGCCACGCATGTCGCTGACGGCTGCACAGCGTGTAGTGCTCCAGCGCGGGCGCGGCCAGGCGCTCACGGAGGCCGCCACACCGACGCGCTCCGGTGGCGCCTCGTCGTCGTCGTC